TGTGACTGACAATTGAAATGTGTGACAAATGACTGAAACGTGGGACACCTGTGCTTTATTGCTCATTGTGTCATCACTGACAGACAATGTTTAACTATAAAACTTGTTCCTGAGTTAGTTTACACAGTGAAAACACAAAATTAACCAATTATAAAAAAGAAAACTAGAGAAACAGAAATTGCATTATTAGCAGCCATAAGGATCCCTCACATAGGTTGAGAGCAGGGACTTTAGATCCCCAGTAACGACTTCTGTAATTTGAGATTAAAAAACCAACTGCCGTCTTCTTTGGACCAGCTAGGAAGGGGAGAAGTGACAAGTGTATACAGTAGAACCTCAGAGTTATGAACACCAGAGTTATGAACTGACCAGTCAACCAGATGCCTCATTTGGAACCAGAAGTATGCATTCAGGCAGCAGTAGAGGCAAAAACATAAAATAAAAAAGGCCAAATACAGTACAATATTGTGTAAAATGTAAACTACTAAAAAATAAAGGGAAAGCAGCATCTTTCTTCTGCATAGTAAAGTTTCAAAGATGTATTAAGTCAATATTTGGGTGTAAATTTTTGAAAGAACAACCATAACGTTTTGTTCAGAGTTATGAACATTCAGAGTTACGAACAATCTCCATTCCTGAGGTTGTATATGTGTGCCTGAGAAGGGACTGTGGTCTACCAGTTACAGTCAGAATAGCTAAGTACATCAGTAAATCAATCTAAAAGCAGCATAGATGAGGCTTGAATCTGCTGTATAAAAGACCTAGTTTCTATTCCCAGTTCTGTCAAAAGTAACCTTCTGCAACCTCTCAGTTAACATTTTTATAGTGGAGGGAATGATACTAGCTTTGCTCGTAGGACAGCAGTGCTGAGGCCTTGCCCAACAGTAAATGTTTTGAAGTGCTCAGAAATATAAATACCTGTCAGTAGAAGAGATGAACTTAAACTCACAGCATCTTGGCTCAGTGCACATTCCCCTAAATCCAAATGTATAACATGAGGATTTCTCTCTCTCTCATCTGTAAAATATCACCTGGCTTGCTGGAACAGAGAGGCTCACTCACTTGAAATGCACTCACATAACCTAGGACAGCTGAGCAGTCTGATCCCAACCTACAGTATAACACTGGTCCATTCTGAAGTAATCTCATCCAAAGTGGATATAATGAATCATTGTTAGTGGAAGTGCTGGTTCATGGCTGTGAAGACAACAGTCAGACCACGTCAGCAGAGGTAAGATACAGTAAGATATTCAAAGGAAGACATCACTCCATTCCAGTCCCCTCCTCACAAATCTTTGTCATTTTTTACCATCCCTGCTTGCTTAGGTACAAATAAGCTCAGTGGAAAGAACAAGTAATATGCTTCATAGGAAAAATGTTTTACAGTTTAGTTTACAGCTAGACAGATTCTGATCTCAGGGCCAGATCTGTGCAGACACAGCACAAGGGAAACAGCCTATACAGAGAAGCAACATGGTAAGGGGTGGGCAGAGGAGAACATTAAACTCCCTTGCACTCCTCCCCCTGATCTGAGCTGTGATTGTCAAAGGAGTCTCAGGGAATTAGGTGCACAACTACCATTGCATTTCAGTGGGAGATAGGTGCCTAACTCCCTTAAGGTTTCTTTGAAAAATGGAAGCCACAACTCATAGTATTTTTGCCGGTGTGTTCCTTGACAAGACCATTAATACCTTGTGAAATCAAGATCATAATCCAAATGTTACTCTAGTGCAAATTTGGGAAAAAATACTTTCCAATGACACATGGCACAGCCTTAGTCTAGAAAAGGTGTGTGCCTAAACATTCAGAATGCCCAAGTAATATATGCAATAGAATAAGTGTCTGACCAGTAGCTAACCAGTTTGTCACCATTAAATTACTTAATGATCAAGGATCACACTACCAATATAATCCCTTCCTTCTTTTACAATGTTTTATCAATACTTGTCTCCTTCATTTCGTCTTGTTTACAAAACTATGATGAATAGAACAAGAACCCTGGATATATAGTATACATCATGTAGCAGCCCAGCACTTGTCAGTACATAACTTGGATAGATAACTGGGCTGGGAATCAAGAAACCTGGGTTTTATTCCCGGTGCAGCCACTCACTTGCTGTATAACCTTGGGCAAGTCACTTTAGTCCTCTTTGCCTGTTTCCCCTTCCATCCTTTATCTGTCATGTTGACTTAGATGGTAAACTCTGCAAGGAGGGGACTGTCTCTTATTCTATGTTTGTACAGCTACAGCGCGTACCAGGACACCTTATCTCAGTTAATCAGTATACTTATTCACATTGACTTCATTAATATGTGCTACATTTTTTTAGCATTTAAAATCCTACTTAAAACAGCATCCCAGAGGAAACGACCTGACTATCTAGCAGAAACCCTCTCTAACATGCTATGTTAGTTTGGAATCAGACTGCAGAGTTGGTCATTCAGTAGAGATAGCAGAAGTTACATATCCTTTCCCCGCTATACCCTGTTGCTTCAGCATGTCCTATTACGTTGATTGGGGAGTACTAGTATCAGCCCAGTGGACTGTCACTTCTAGGATAGGAATGCAAGAGCTGTATTCTGATAAGTAATTCCAACAGGTGGAGCTCATCCCAGATACAAAAGCCTTGAGCTGAGTAAACTGGACTCAGGTATTAGTCCATGTTGGTGTAATATTCATTTCTTAAGGAAGGGAGTATGTCAGTGGCTCTGTGACACCATTTATATTATCAGTAAAGAGATCTAGAAATTTAAGTCTCTTGATGTCTGGGCCACTGGCTACAAAGCATAATACAGTGTAAAACTCCTACCCAGGGATGGTAGAATGTACATATATTTGTGATTATCACATTCTAAGTGCTACTCTAATTGTTGTATTTTAAAATCTTCCCCAGTGTGATTTTAATTAAGCACATTTACAAACACAGAACACATTCTGTAATAATATATAACTCAAAAAGTGTTCATTTGCTTAGTAATGAAAACATTTAATTAAGAATTAATTTGACCTGAAATTGTAAGATATTCAGGTAATCCTTGGAGACCAAAATATTGAAGTGTCAACCAAAACTATAACATATTAAAGGACTGAACAATTCCTAGGCACCACACACAAAAACTGGGCAAGCCAGTCCCTTCCTAGTCCTCTTTCTCTAGCTAGCCATTGTATTGATTTTGTAAAACAGACAAAAAAAATAACATCTTTACAAAAGTAAATGTATTTCTGTTGCAGGTAAGTCCTCCTAACTATTAACCATCATGATGTTTTCAGAAGGTGTCAAAACTTGAAATAAACTTACAAGATGCAGTTCAAAAGTTTGTCCCTCTGCACAATTCTTTCAGTTTTCTATTTTTGGGGTGTGATTCTATTAGTGTAGATTTTGAACATATTTTTCACCATATGAAAATGTAAAAATACTTTTGTACCTGTGTGGAAGTAATAGTTTTTTACCACTGGGACAAGAGAACTTCATTAACTCCCAAAACTTTGACTAAGCCAAAAATTGGATTTTCTCAGAAAACTATTTTACTAGGCACAAAACATCATATAGCTGTATGTTATATAATTGCTGTCAATGTAAATTAAGTTTAGCCAGTAGGATATTAAAACATCCTCTCTTAGGAAATGTCTTGGATTTTGAGTAACCTTACTAATAAGTTTGGTAAAATATTTCCATCCTGGCTTTTGCAGAAGGAATCTGCGCTGTGTCACATCTAACATAAATTTAATTTTAAAAGTTTTGTGTGAATAACAGTTGATTTGATAGAATAAAGATTGCCCGAGAAAACCTGCTCTTGGTAGGATATATAAACAAACTGATAAACCATCGCATTTCTCTCCTGTTTGCACCCAACAAAATCCTTTGCAATATTTCATCTGCATCTGCTGGGTCTAGCTCTAGGTAAACGCTAGTAAGGGATAGGCAGGGTAGGAGCTCAAATACTGTCTGTCCGGGGCAGTTTGGTGGAGTGCGCAGGAGAGACACCAGGGGGCACTGCTGACCCTCGGTCTCTGAGCTCCATCCTTGGGCCTCCTGCCTACCATGAGAATCTTCGGGGATATGGGGAGGGTCTTCTTTAGGGTGACCAGATGTCCCGATTTTATAGGGACAGTCCCGATTTTGGGGTCTTTTTCTTATATAGGCGCCTATTACCCCCCACCCTCTGTCCTGATTTTTCACATTTGCTGTCTGGTCACCCTAGTCTTCTTCCTTCTGCACGAGAAACAAACTGAAAGGTTGTGTTGCAAATCCAGGCCACTCCACCCAGCCTAAAGAAAGGAGAAAGCACCTATCTACTGTATCTAGATCCAGGCTGTCCCTTTCCTTTGGGTTTTTTCCTCCCCTCTGTCTTGCTTCAAATCCAGATGTAACTCCGGAAATGAATGGAAGTCTATTTTTCCTCCAACTCAAAGAGACACATTCTAGCATTGCATTTAATTTCCCAGGAACAGCAAATCTCACGGACCCCTCTGCAAGTGGTCCAGGCACCTGCTCTGCCTGTGTAATTTTACTGACGCAGCATTCTTCACTTTCCCAGTCCCTTGCCCAGAATAATAAAGCAAACTCGGGGGGGGGGGATTTGTAACCCCATCATCATGGCTTTATTGAAAGCATCCACCCCAAGGCTAGGTACCTGTACCTCCTCCCCCATCCGCTCTGCATTATTGACCCGCTTGTATTTCTAAACGGAGATCATCGCCCCACCATCTCCTCGGAGTGGCTCCAAGGGAACTGGCCCGCGCTGTCCCCCTGGAGAGACACAATCAGGCGGGTGCCTGAGCGGGATAGGAGAGCGGAGGGGTGCCCGGTTTGGCGGGGCTGCCAGAGCCCCAGCGTCTTGTTCACCTGCCTCGCAGCCGGGGCGCGCTGGCGTGACAAGCGCTAACTTTGTGGCTGTACAATCGGAGCCTTTCCCCGACCTCCCGCACATCTCCTCTCCAGGCGCCGCCAGGGCACCAGCAGGAAGGGGGCCACCCCCCAGCCAGCGCCGGTACTTACATGCTGCTGACCAGTGGAAGGGTCGGGTAGTAGCCGTAGGGGTCCCGCTGGGTTTTCACTGCTCTCTGCTGCTGCTGCTGCTGCTGCTGCTGCGAGGGCTCCAGCCCCCCATTAACGCCTCTCCAGCCCCGCCGCCGGCGCTGCTGCTCCTCTTCCTCTCCCCCGTCCTCCTCCTCCTGCTGCTGCTGGGGGAAGGTCACTCTCCCCTGCTCCTTACATCGCCTGCCCTTGCTGGACATGCTCAGGTTCTTCTCAGGATGCTGCTGCCGGCCAACCTCGGCTAGCAGCCTGTGCTGGGGAAGCGAGGAGGAGGAGGAGGAAAGCCCTGCCCAGCAAGGGACAGAGCAGCTGGAAGGGACAAAACCCTCACCATAAAATAATATCCCTTCCCCTCCCAGGCTGCTGCTGCTTGTCAGGAAGGAAAGACAATGTGCAGCCTGATAGGCAGAGCTGAGGAGTAGGTCTGAGTGAGGAGCTGATGAGGAGAAAGCACTCCAGGTCTGTCCCTCTCCTCTCCCTTTTCATCATCACTTTGCTAGGACAGACAGCATCATCACTCCGAGAGAGAATCGATCATCTACCAAAGCAGGCAGTGAGGAGAGGAGGGGACTCCACTCCAACCTGCACATGAGCAGGGAAATAACAGCTTCCCTCTCCCGCCCCAAATCAGCGCATGTCTCAAACAAAGCTGGGGCATTTCAGAATAGTTCCTATTGAAGAAAGGACAGACAAGGCAACTTTGCTACGGGGCAGTTATAAGGATTCCCAGACACAAATGAAGCCCACACTAAGCAGCCTTTATGTGCATTTTATCGATGTAAATAGTTTTTCTCCCAGGCATAACTTCTAAGTAGGGTTATATGTACAGTAATATTAACATGGACATGGTGCTTTCAAGAATATTCAAAAAGACACAAATTGTATATTTTATATGCATAGCAGCATGAAGCGGTGCATGGCCCCAAACAGTGTGATTTCCATAAAAACGTCCAAGAAACAAATTAAAAAGTAATCAATTGCCTGATACAATCATATAAGTCTCATAACGAATTACATTTCTGAGCAGTCTCTCTCTCTCTTTCCCCCCGCCCCCTGCCCAGCCCAGGAAAATGGTTTAGATAAGGTTCCCTACACGTGAAAATAAGAAGAGTTCAACATTTTCATTGGCTTGCCTATGACAAAAATGCAATGACAATCTAGATTTCCAAATTATTTTTAAGTGACAAGTATAAAGAAATAAAATGTGAGCATTAAGACACTTATTATGCCTCTTACTGGTAACTGAAGCTAATTATACTCATTTGTATAGAGCTCAATCACAAAGATTCTTGTTGTAAAAAGGAGAATACAAAAGTTACTTCTTCTTTTGTTCCTATGAGAGTTTCAGGTAATTATATTATGAGGCAAATTATGCCCTCATAACTGTGCAACCCCATTAGAGTCAGTAGGGTTGCACTGAGGGAGAATTTAACTTCATCTGTTTTCATAAGTAGTCTGTACAGCAATCAATTTGTTAGTTTATTCACTACAGTATAGCTATTCTCTTTCTATCTCCACATTGCAGACTGCAACCAGGTTTTTTTCTTGCTTTGAACTTAAAGGCTTAATGTAGCAGCCACTACGCAGTGGAGCGAGAAAGACTGAAGTCCAGATCCTACTGCCACTGAAGCTAATGGGAGTTTCACTATCTATTTCAATGGGAGAAGAATCCATCCCGAAATACTATTCCCTCCTTAGAGAGAGATAACTATTGAGCAACACAAGACACTCACCTCTGCTAGGGCTGAGTGTACAAGTCTCCTCAGTACGCCTAGAGAACAGGTTTGCAATACCCTACTTCTTTCTTTTCTGATGCACAACTAGTTTTCAATATGAGCTGAGATTCTGCATTGTGTATTTTCACCACACATAAGTTTGTATTGTTGCATGTGTAGGAAGAATCTTGAAGAGATGCATAACCTCATTCCAGTTCTGCTAAAATTTTGGCATTTGGAAAATGAATCAGTTTGTCTTTGTCAGTTTAATCCATTAAAAAAAATATCAGTGGGCCATTTTCTGTCCATTTACACCATGTCTAACCCGCTTTGTCTTCAATAGGATTATATAGGTTGTAGGGCAGAATGGGCCCAGTTTTAGATATTTATAAGCACTCATCATCATAATATGTGCTAACCACAGCAATTTAGAATCACATAGGATTATCCATACAAGACAGACATCAAGATGTTAAACCTAATTCTTCTACACTGTATTAGAGCCCAGTCAGCCGACGCATTCTGCTAGCACTGACACCTGCAGAGTCTCATTGACCTAAAACGATAATACTCATTTTGCACTCCTTACTCAGGAAAGGATATATGGGATGACCTGGGTAATTATAGTCCTGACATTGATCCTGGACAAGATAATGAGTGGCTCATATGGGACTTGATTAATAAAGAATGAAATGAGGGTAACATAATTAATGGACAGTACTGGGTTTACAATGGCACCAATGGCGCCAGGCCCACACTTGGAAGGGGCCCTTTATGATTGCCAGGCAGGAGTGCTGGAATCTCCTTAGAAGTGGGGGAGCCACTGGCGCAGACTTTGCTCTGCCTATGCTCCACCCTGTGGCCCCGCCCCACCCTATGGCCCTGCCTCTTCACTCGTGGCTCTGCTCCTGCTCGGCTTCTCCCCTCTCAACTTTTCTCCCCAAAGACCATGCCCACCATTCGCTCCTCCAGCCCCTCCCCCCGTCGCTCGCCTTTGGCATCTTGTGCTTTATCTGTTAGGACATTGATCCATAAGCATTCAAGCATTTTTTTCTTCACAGTTAGTGTCTTGGAAACAGGTAATGCCATTTTTGACAGAATGCTACTGCCACACCCCCTCCCCTTTTGCTAATTCAGTCCTTCCTAAATAAGTTATAAGCATTGATTTTAACATTCCAATTATGTGAATCATCCCACCAGGTTTCAATAATACCAACTAGATTGAATTTTTGCTCATAAACGAGCAATTTCAATTCCTCTTATTTGTTTCCCAGGCTCATAGCATTGGTGTATAGGCAATTCAAGAATTTCTTCTCTTCATGTCCATTGGTTCCTTGATTAATGTTGTTCTCAACATCTCTATTTTCTCATGAGCGCTCATAGCTTCCCTCTTTTTACCCGCCCCCTTTTGATATTAGTTTAACCCCCTTCTGACCCAAGGAGAATGGTCTCTCTTCTACTGAGGTGAAGGTCATCCAAACTATACACCTCCCTCTCCCCATGGAAGGTGAGCTAATGTTCCACAAAATCAAAACCCTCCACCCTGCATCTAGCCAGCACTTCATTTCCAGTCACTTATCTAGCCAGCAGTTCAACATTGCCTAATATAAAATATAGAAGTCTCTACTATTTCCAAGAGAAATGAATACTTTTTGTATGTAGCAGAACAAAAATGACAGTTGAAAGTGTGGAGCACAGATATTTAATTTATACATCTATTCTGGGATACTTGGAAGCTTATTAACATTTGAATGGATACAATTTCTAATACACCTCTACCCCGACATAATGTGACCCAATATAACATGAATTCGGATATAACGAGGTAAAACAGTGCTCCGGGGGGGGAGGGGGCGGGGCTGCACACTCCGGTGGATCAAAGCAAGTTCGATATAACGCTGTTTCACCTGTGACGCGGTAAGCTTTTTTGGCTCCTGAGGACAGCGTTATATCGGGGTAGAAGTGTATGTATTATTGAAAGACTGTTTACTGGCTACATTGAATTTTACTTATGTATCCTGAGAAAACTGGTTATAACCATTTGAAATCAGGTCCCCTAAGTAATTAATACCATAACCTTATCTTGGGAGACAAGCCATATTAAAAGTGTCTTGTCAATCTTTAAGCATGGATTATATCATAAAGAAACTACTGATAAAGTGCTTTGAGAATGAAGTAAACACATCTATAGATAACAGGAAGCTTCTATAGCGACAAGAATATTAGGATGAAAATTTAAGTTTGTGGGGAGATATATTGTTATTAAAAGACCTAAAGAATGAGCGGTGATTTGATTTAAAAAAAAATCAGTACCACCATTTCCCCCACTCCCATCGCCCTATTAGAGCATTATTTCTTTCATGAGGAGTGGCATATGCTATCTTTCGATAATGAGAATCCTAACTTTAACCCTATCCTTGAGAATCAATATTTAACTCATATACACTTGTTTTCACACACAAAACTTCACAGGAGAGACAATGCCCAATAGCAATGCCCTTAGCCATTAAAAACTTCCAGGAGTGAAGAATGAGGGTCCATAGTGTTTTTAAATAAAAGTGAGGTGGAAACTGAAGCAATAGCACTTAATGTGGACTCCTGCCAAAATGCACCTATCTCCAAGTCCTACCCCCAGTGCACAACTTCAACAGCCAGGCTATATGTTGATCTCCTCAGCCATAGGCTAGGTGGGGAGGAATTCCTCCTCCCATACTGCTCAGCCACTCAGCTGCCATTACTGCAGCTTCAGGGCTGGGAGAATGGTCACATAGCAGTGGATCCATTTCCCCTGCTCCTCCAGCAAACTTTCCACTGTACAGTAGTGTACTAGGAGCCTCTGGAGAACTTGGCTCAATAGCACACAGGGGAGGCACATCCTCTTTGTGGGCTCCTCACATTTTCCTACTCTGGTGCAGCAGAACCATCCCTTGTGGCAGGTGAGTCTCAGAGGGTTATCCAATATGAATTCTTGCTGGTCAGGCTGACGGGCCCACAACCTCAGCTGTTTTTCAGCTATGTAACAATGAAATTTTATGTAACTAAACATGACACACTAGGTTACATTTAATCACATGGAGCAGCAATAAAAATTCTCTTAGAAACATCCTAAGGAAATTAGCTATTAAATTACTAACAATACTAATTTTATTTCGATTTTGTTTGTATGCAATTTCTTGCACCTTGAGAGCCTTCGTTAGTAATTCTTGTGATAGTCTTATTTTTAAACTTTTTTTAAAAATTGTAAATCCTCAGTTTCCCTCACAATTTGTGGAGTTCTACTAAATCAGATTATTGATTTCACAAATTATGGGGGGGGGGAACAATTGGAGGGGACAAGTTACCCAGACAAACCCCAGGCTTTCAAGTCAGATTTCATGAGGCATCATGGTATAAAGTAGAGGAAATTGTTTGTCAAAGGAGTGGGAGGGGCATGGCTTTCCAGTCCCACAGATCTGCAAATAAGTACCGCAGAGCCAGCTGTACAAAGGGCCAGAACATCTGTAACGGGGACCTGCCCTTGTATATTGCATTCTTTCCTGGCAACATGATCCCTTTAGGAACCTTGCTTCCACTAGCTGCCTTCTCTGTACCTTCACCCATACCTCTCTGCGTGATGGAGGAGAAAAATGCAGAGAGGGTTTTCATAAAACTTTCTGGGTCAGGCTGCCATGATTGCACTCATTCCAGATGTTTAGGAAGAAGATAATGTCACATGAATCAGTTATATCCCTTTATCTGCCTCGTCTTACTACCCCAATCCACAAAGCCCAAATAAATACTGCTAATGTTGAGGGGTCTCTACAGATTTGGACTAGGTGCTGCTGATTATGCTTTTCTTCATCCTGCCCTCCCTATTTTACTTGTTAAC